GTATCCTTACTTTTTCCGTCAATGTCTAGAATTGTGCCCAATAAGCTGTCGCATACATTCTTCTCAATATGCATGATATTTAAGTTGTGACGTAACGACAATGACTTCCAATAAGGCAACTCCCAAAATATACTTTGCTTTGTCCAATTAAGCTCGCTTGCATATCTTTTCCACTTTTTACCACCATACTTTTCATGTTTACCAGGCAATCTGAGGGACACATTTTGTAACTGAGCTAAGATTTGGTGAACAGATTTTTGAGCCGGTGGAGGTCGTTTCTCAACCTTACCATCAAACTTTTTATTTTTTGTCTTCCCATGTTTCATAGGAAGCCATTGCCGATGGCCAACAAAACAAGTCTTACTTGTTATCCTCTTTGAAGAGGTTGAATCGTTGCAAGTTGGGCATGCTAAATAGCCCTGACCACTCCATCCAAATTAACTACTACGAGTAGGAAAATCATTAACTGTCATTAGCAACATAGCCTGCATCTGAAATGATGTATTCAAAACTGCGTCACGTACAATTACTCCTTCATTCCACAAATCTTTTAGCTTATCCACAAGGGGCCTTAAAAAGACATATATATCCTTTCCGGGTGCATTTGGGCCAGGAATCAACAGTGTCAACATCTTATAAGGATCCTTAGTGCATAACCACAGATGTAAATTGTAGGTCGTTAAAACCACGGGCCACATACTGTATGAGAGGCTCATGTTCCCAAAAGGATTGAAACCATCAGTGGCCAACCCCAAGCGAACATTTCTCGGCTCACGTGAAAACTCAGGATACTTTTCATCTACCTCCTTCCATTCATTACCATCGACCGGATGACGCATTAAATCCTCATAATTTGAACGCCCACACTGGTGCCACGTCATATCTTTAGCTATGTGACGAGAATCGTACAGACGCTTCAACCGATCTGTTAACGGGAAATAACGTAGTACTTTTCATGGCACTTGTTTAGTACATTTTGTCCTTTTTTTCTTCCAACGGGATGTTTTACATACGAGACACATTTGTAGATCAACGTTCTCCTTCCAAACTAAAGCACAATCGTACTTACATACATGAATTGTTTCGTAACCCAGTCCAAGTTTACTCATGAGCTTCTTCGACTCATAATGAGAAGAAGGTAACTTCACATCCGGGAATGCATCTTTCAATAGATTTAACAGAGCATCCATACACTCATTAGGCCACTTGTATAACACTTTTAAATGCATCAATTTCACTAAGAAATTTAAAGATGAATACTTAGTGCAATCCGGATACAATCCCACCTGGAGCTCAGAAAGTAGATCCTTAAATTCAGCATACTGTGCATCTTCTAGATCCACATGCGTCTCATCCAACATTTCATTGTCATCATTAATCCCAACAACGTCTTCTAAGACTGCAAACATCTCGTCTACTGGTTGATTAACTATTGAGTCGACACCTGAAACCGCTTCTACTTCACCATGGTGAGTCCATGTACTATACAATGGATCAAAACCAAATCGATGTATATGCGCTCTCACAGTTTGTACTAGATGCATTTCATGGTTTATACATTTCACACAAGGGCAACTGATATGGCTAATTGAAGTTGCATAATTTTTGGCGACGTCAATAAAAGCAGATAACCCATTCCAATATTCATCCGACAAT